CTGACATTCGCAACCAAAGTTAATAAAACGTGCCAGACCCCCAAGTGGTCACCTTAACATTAAAAAAAAAAAAAATTATTAATAATAAAGAATCTAAACCAACTTTTGCTCAAATATATTTTTATGATAGTGAAGATTTTGCTAGCCAAACCAATAGAAGACATGAAATAATAAAAAAAAAAATTTAAATAAGGATATGTTAAATTCAAAATTTGACCTACTTTAATACTTACACTAAAATAATATAAACAAATTACATTTAAAAGCCAACTGAGTTATTTAAATAAGATTATTACAAGTAGTTAATTAAAGAAGCAATAGTTTAATTTAGTATATATTCTTAATCAAGTACTAGCGTAACATCTTAGAAAAAAAAAGTATTTTTTATTAAGCAAACCTTCTTTTGACCTTTACTGTAGTTGTTAAGATAAAACTTTACAAAAATTTGCTACACTATTATACAGTAGGATTAGTTTTACAACTTTGATTTAAAAAAATCTTATAGAATTTAGTTAGGTGGTTACCGAGATATCTTTGTTCAAAGTTTTCCAAAAATTTTGCTACGGGCTAATTTAATAGGCATTCAAACTTTTGAAAAAAATATCTCGACAACCACCCAATGGTTTGCGGTATTTCACATGGAAAGATCACGTGACTATAAATCGAGCACTGATTATAATTTCGCGCGGCATACGATATCGATATACAAATTTTTATACAAAGGTAGCTACCCTTGATAATTGTAAATGTCTGCACCTTTAATTCACAAAACACAAGATGACACCGACACAGAAATCTTGGAATTTCTGCAAATGATTGATGATTCGGGTAAAGATTAAATTTTATTATATTTTCCTTAATTTCATTAAACTCTTATATAAACATATTTATTTTACAGACAACAAAAACTTCGATCCATCAACATATTTCCAATTCAAAGAAGAGAAAGAATGGGATATATCTAGTGAAGCGATTGAAAATGAGACAAATGAGGTAAGTGACATGCCAAGATAATTCAGCCAACCTTATATTTATTAAAATAATGATTATTTATTGCACTTGTCCTTTAGATATATAAAAATCTTATGAACATTCGCTTTGATTCTTTAGAATTATCATTAGGCAGTGTCCCATTACATGAAAGATTAGATTTAGATGATCTTTTTTTAGTAAGTATAAATTTATATTTGTAATATTCAACCATCTCAATCAAGTCTGTCTAATTTTTACAGAAAAATGATGACGATGATTCATGGACGATGTTAAACCTTACACGTCCTATCGTTCCAAAAACAATAAAATCTGTCGTTCAAAAATCACTAGTGCGTAAAAGCCAAGATGTTTCTAGTACGCAAAGTGTACAAGATCTAACGACTAGAAATTCAACAGTTATATCTAATACTAAAACAGGTTACTTGTCGTTTAAAAAACCATTATTTTTCCTCTATGGCTTGATATTGATGTTTAATTATAATTTCAGTAAAAGAAGTGAAGGCCAAAATAACGAAGACCACGTCAGTCAATGGTGATGACGATATTGACAATTTTTTTAAATCGCTCGAAGATGAAGATGGTAAATTAAGAATTGAAATTTTATATATTATAAGTACATTTTTGTGCTCATATAAGTGTTCTTTTTATTTTAGTTAAACCACTTCCTAGGTCAAATAATTTTAAAAAACAACCGATTCGGAAAGCAACCGGCAGAGATAAAGTATCTAGAAAAAATAAAACACATAATGAGATGGAAAATTGGTTGGACGATGTTTTGAATGATTAATTTGTAATTAAGCTAGTATTTTCATGCTGATATTTATTTGTTCATTCCATAAAATAATTTTAAAGCATTAATATATTCATCGGGATATTTTAAGAAATGTTGTACATGCTTACTATCTGGGTAAAATCTTTTTTCAACAATTTTTAAAGTACCAGATTTTTCACCAATGTAGACACCATTTCTATTTCTTAATCTATTTATAAATTCGATAATGTCCTCCTCAGGAACAATTTGGTCACCAGGACCATATAAAAATAAATAATTAACATTTCTGCC